GGACATCACTAGCAGGGCTTAAAAGAGACACGCTCTCGGGGCAGGGAGTGGGGCGGGGGGCGGAGGATGGGGGTCAGACCCAGACACCTGCAGCCCTGCCCCAAGTTACCCAATAGCTTCCCATCCCAAAGGTAAGACAGACCAGCCTGTTCTAAAACCCTCTCTTTGGGTACATCTACACTAGCCCCCTAGTTTGAACTAGGGAGGCTAATGAGGGCGACCAAAATTGCAAATGAAGCGCGGGATTTAAATATCCCACGCTTCATTAGCATGTTCCCAGCCGGTCGCCATTTTGGAAACTGACTAGCCTGGAATAACTGCCCGCATCTACACGTGCCAGAGAAGCGCGATTCTGAGATGAAACCCCTTAGTTCGAATTAACAGTTAAACCTCATTCATGCCGGTGTGTGGAATGCCAGCCTCTAACTCAGTGGTTCCCAAACTTTTCCATGAGGTTTAACTGTTAATTCGAACTAAGGGGTTTCTCGGAATCGCGCTTCTCTGGCACGTGTAGACGAGGGCAGTTATTCTGGGCTAGTCAGTTTCCAGAATGGCGAGCAGCCGGGAACATGCTAATGTATACCAAAATGATTAGGGGGCTGGAGCATATGAATTATGAGGAGAGGTTGAGGGATTTGGGTTTTAGTCTGCAGAAGAGAAGAGTGAGGGGCGATTTGCTAGCAGCCTTTAACTACCTGAAGGGAGGTTCCAAAGAGGATGGAGAGAGGTTGTTCTCAGTAGTGACAGATGCAGAACAAGGAGCAATGGGCTCAAGTTTCAGTGGGGGAGGTCTAGGTTGGACATTAGGAAAAACTATTTCACTAGGAGGGTGGTGAAGCGCTGGGATGGGTTCCCTAGGGAGGGGGTGGAGTCTCCATCCCTAGAGGTGTTTAAGTCTTGGCTTGACAAAGCCCTGGCCGGGTTGATTTAGTTGGGATTGGTCCTGCCTAGGGCAGGGGGCTGGACTTGATGACCTCCTGAGGTCTCTTCCAGCTCTACGGTTCTATGATTCTAAGCGTGAGATATTTAAATCCCGCGCTTCATTTGCAATTTCGGTCGCCTTCATTAGCCTCCCTAGTTCGAACTAGGGGGCTAGTGTAGACTTACCCTTAGTTTCTGTGGTTACAATAAGCAATACATGGGCTTGAGGAAGGCAGCCTGGTCACTGATCCCTGCTGGTCCCAGATGCCGGAAGAGAGGAACTGCAAGTGCCTGAATCCATGTGGGCCTGTGTGGTCGATATGTGGGGCCTTGTCTTAAAGGGGGAAAACCCTGTGACTCCACCCCAGGAGAGGTCCAGGCATGAGGAAGGGCACTCAGAGGGCTGTTTCCCCCTCCTTTCTCAAGTCAGGAATAAAACCTGGCAGCCCCTGGTTCTAGCCACTAGGCAACACCCTCTTCTAGGGCCAGTTCTCAGACCTCTTCCTTGCTCCAGCCACTGAATTCCAATAGCCTGACTAACCTCGGCGCTGGGGTCTGAGCATGTCCTGGCAAGAGCCTCCTGAGCGCAAACCCCTTCTCGTATCTTTGTCCTTCTCCCCCTGGTGACGAGGGATGGGTGGGTCAGGAAGGCAGGGCAGCGCAGTGTGGGTATGACTCACCCATAGATCGTGCCTATCATTCCGCGTCGGCAGCCTCGCCATGGCAGGCACGGTGTGTGAGAGACCATCTCCTGTGTGTGGAACGCCAGCCTCTAACTCAGTGGTTCCCAAACTTTTCCGCATCACGCCCCCTTTTTGATTTGTGAGAGACCCTCACACCCTTCCTCCCCCAAAATATAGCAGCAAAACTTGTTGAGCGGACAGATGGACCACGCTTTTTCTTGGGAGGGGATTGACTGGGGAGGGAGGGGGGCTGGGTCACCTTGCGCCCCCCCTGGAATTTCTTCACGCCCCTCCAGTTTGGGAAGCCATGCTCTAACTGCTTGTTATCCACTCCCTGGGGCTCTCCTTCTCTCCCCCTTGCCCTATGGCACTGAAGACTATGTCTAGGAAATAAGAAGTGCCCCGCAAACCCACAGGTATCCATGGCTGTAGGTACGGAGACCCACAGCTCATTTTTGCAGATATGGATGCGGATACGGATACAATTTTGTTATCCGCACAGGGCTCTAGAAATAAGAACTTGCATGGCGGGGGGGGGAAAGGCGCCTGCAGTGCAGCAGCGTTCCCATCAGATGGTGCTCTTGCTCCATCGCCGGCTGGGTGGTTGTCATGCCTTCTGGAAGGACACTGGCACTTCAGTGGCCAGGAGATGCTAGGTCTATTTGGCAGCTGGGTGAAACGCGATGAATGGGAACGTCGCCGGGGGCCGGTGACTCATTCCTGTTTGGAGATGGCTTTGGAGAGCACCTCTGTGCCCAGCTCACCAGGGAGGGAGAAGTCCTAAGCAAGGATTCGGCTGGGTGGTTGTCATGCCTTCTGGAAGGACACTGGCACTTCAGTGGCCAGGAGATGCTAGGTCTATTTGGCAGCTGGGTGAAACGCGATGAATGGGAACGTCGCCGGGGGCCGGTGACTCATTCCTGTTTGGAGATGGCTTTGGAGAGCACCTCTGTGCCCAGCTCACCAGGGAGGGAGAAGTCCTAAGCAAGGATTCGGCAATCAAGAGGGTAAGGAGCACCCAGCACGTGCCGGGGTGGTGTCAGCAGAGCGGACTGGGGAGGCGTTGGATCCGGGAGGATTTCCTCTCCTTGCCGTCACCCCCGTGGGACGTGCTGCAGAATTAGGTTCACGACGGGGATGCCTTCTGCTTGCTTCTGACCACAGGGCTGTGCTGCGGGGCAGCCCACTGGAGAACGCCACCTCTGGCCTTTCCCAGGCTTATCTCGGCTGGGTGGAGTGTCTTGCTCGTTAACCCGGATTCCCCCTTCCTTTCAGCGACCAACTGAGGCAGCAGCAGCAGACGGAGCTGA